GGAAATGCTCTGGAAAGCATCAAACCCTGGAATAAAACCTTCTGCACCAAATGCGAGTCCGTATCTGGGCCTAGAGTGTCCCTAGAGGCCCCAAGTGACCCTCATAAATGGCAGCCAGCTGGTGGCCTCCAGGCACACTGGCGACAGGCTGCCCTAACAGAGCGGATGAGATAAGCACAGGGCAGAGAGGCCTCCCTGCTGCTTCCTACCCTTTCTGAGCATCCTGCAAATACAAATGCCTGGACCCGCAGGGAAAGGAAAGTGAGTGGCCAGGGTGTTTGTGTTTAGGCACCAATGTAGGAAGATGAATACTGACCATCTGGAACTTGTAAGCTACAAAATCATAACAGTAATAATAAATATAAGTGCCCTCTATCTTTAGGTTTGCTGCCAGATTTGAAAGAGGAAATTAACAATTTCCCCATTGGCTTGTTTCAAAACTAATTTCAGCTCTTGTTTATTTCCAGTATTTAGAGTGCGCCCTGTGAACCCTTCTGCTGAGCTGGGGTGAGTGTCATGGTTATTCCAGGACTTGACTCAGTCTTTCTTGGCATTTCTGAGTTTTCCTACTCCTTTCTGGATGTCAGAGCAATTAGTTACTCTTTTGTGGCAACACAGAAACACTGCAGGACGTTCACTATGAACACGTGTCTTGTTAGAGATTCAGGCAAGAGTTTGGTGGCTTTAAGAGGACCACTGCCCAGCCAGGGAAATGACTTTGCCAGGTCTGGCTTGGCTTTACTTTTGCTTTTCTACAAGTGCATCTTGCCAGACCAGACCATGCGGCATAGTTCTAGAACCTTCCTTATCCAAACACCAACAACCCAAGGAGCCAGCTGCTACCATGGAAAATCAACGTGGGCTTCTATGCAGCTCTCCAATTGCCAGCAGGCCAGATTGGGATCCTAGCAGTCTGAGGACCAGGTAAACCTGACCCAGGAATATGCATGAGGGCTGCTGGAACTGAGCCAGCCATGCTTTTCACTGGGGCTGCAGTAGCATTAAAAATAGGCACAAACACACAGACAAGATGGCAACACAGGACAGGTGCCCTAAAGGGCCACTATATGGCTCTACAGATTGGCTGCACTGTGGTCAGGGTCACGGTCACCTATGCCTTGGCATGACTGCTACTTCATGAGGCCACTGTTACAAATGCCAAAATGTCAAGAGCATCTCCAGCCCACATACACTGTCAGCAAAGCACTCTTCTCATGCCTGTCATTAGCAATGAAATATTCGGTACCACAAATGCTAGTTCAGCGCCATGGCACACCTGGCAAAGCGGGAGACTTACCTCTGGCTCCCGGGCCATTGTTCCTGCGTGCTGAGCCCTTGTGGGCTGCCCCATCGCTCCTCTCTTTGGCCAGCAGCAGAGGGGATTGCCTGCTATAGGGTAGAGATCACAGGGCAGCTGGACACACCCACTCCCAGGCCCTTGCCCTTTGAAATTCACTCGAATCACAAAAATAACACCTGCTTTGGGGAAGCACAAGGAGCCCCTTATGACTCATGCCGTGGTGAAATTTCATTTCCTTTTCTTTTTAGACCCAGAAAAGCCAAGGAAAGGTAAAGCAACACTGTCTTTTCGCTGGCAAAACACAATCATCACTTCTGTGCCCATGGCCAATCTTGGCACATACAGTGGGAGTTACCCTGCAGGAAGGATCCCAGACAGAGATGCCGACCATTTCTGCTTTTAACTTTCTGCCAAGAAAATCAAACTGGCTCTCAACCTTGGGCACATGCTGGAATCACCAGGGCAATTTTTAAAACTCCTGATGCCACCAGGTCCCACCCAGTGGTTTGGATTTAGTCAGTAGAGGAGATGGCTTGAGGGTCGAGGTTTTAAAACTCCAGGCATTGCAAGGTGTAGAAAAGCAAGAATCACTTGTCTACCTGAAACCTGGGAGCTGTGGATGAGAAAATGAGAAACAGGGAAAGTTTCTTTTTCGGGAGACATAGGTGCTCTTCTTCTCTGGGTGTCCCACTATCTAGTATTACTGGCTTTGCCCAAAGGATACATATATGTCTTTGCACCTCCATATTCTCATCTGCACAATACATTATATTCCTAGCATTGCTTGCTGATGTGTTGTGAAGATCAAATGCAGTAAGACAAGGCTGAGAAAAATACCAAGCACTACATAAAGGCAAGGGTTAGAGGATCATTATTTTCTTCAGCTATGTGAGGCTGATAGCAACAATATCGATATTTATTGTGTTTACTCTAGGCCAGGTCCTGTGTTAAGTGCGCAATGCATGCCCTCCATGGAGGGTGTTTTAATGCCTAGAAAACCGACACAGGAAGGTAACAAGGTACAGAAGTGGAATATCAGTATTCTTTAGCAACAAGGAGACTTGGAAGAGTAAGAGAAGGGTAAAAGGAAATAGCAACAAATATAAAAAATGATGGAAAGAACAAACCAATATGGGACTTCCCCAACAAAAGTGAAGTAGAAGATTTCTTTCACTAGGCACACAGAGAGGATTAAAAACGGAATGCTCTTTATACGAGACAAAGAAAAAGGCTAAAAAGAAAGGTCTGGGAAAACTCGTTCTGGGTGGATGCAAAGCAAAGGAGAGGACAGGGCATGTGAAGAGCAGTCAGCTCCCAGAACAGGGCGCCAGTAGGGCTGAAGTGACAATTTGCTACAGTGAACGTAGGTGTTTGGGCCACAAAGCCATCAGCCGCACATGTGAGGCAAAACCAGGTGTGTGAGTCAGTAGAAGTAGGAAGCCGATAGCATGCTCGCCTAATGAAATGCTAGGGAAATGAATACATGGAAACTACCTAAATTTAGTAAGTATCTACTGATCAAAAACCCACAGCAAAAGCTCACAGCTGCTGACCTCAAGATCTTTAAAATCAGGAAGCAGATGGACACATCTGCTGTTATCACGACTATTGAACTTTTAAAATTTCCAGTGATATACAAGAAGGCATCAATACAGTAAGTTATACAAATACTGAAAGAGATAAACTAGTTTTGAATTTGCAGATAACATTATCATATACCTAAGTGTCTCAGGGAACTCTACTAAAAACTAGCAAAATTAATAAGGTAAGTGGAGTGTTAAAACATAAATAATGAAAGCCAGGCCTGGTGGTGCACGCCTATAATCCCAGCACTTGGGAGGCAGAGGCAGGAGGATACCCTGAGTTCGAGGCCTGGGCTACATAGTGAGTTCAGGGCCATCTTAAACTACAAAGGGAGTCCCAAAACCAAAAAAACAAAACCATAAATAATGAAAGAATTCATCTCCATAGCAGTAACATCAGGTTGGAAGTAGCAATGGGAAAGATTGTATCTATATCTAGCCCATTCAACTGGTGACAAAAATAACCACAAACAAACGAGGCAGGCCCAAGATCTTTAGGAACAAAACTATAAAAACTCACTAAAGAACAACAAAGCTACATCGAGTGACCATGGTAACTGTACAAAACAGAACAAATGTCTAATAATAACTTTGAAAAAATGAGCAGAAAATTTGTATTAACCAATTATAAGACTTAAATGAAGTACTTACGATAAAAATAGTGCAGTGTTTGACTGAGAGAAGGACAGACCAGAGTACCAGTACTTGAAAACCCAAAATGTACACAAATACATGTGAAAATGCTAAAGGTGACATTTCAGTTCAGAGAGGAAAGGAAGTTTTATTTTTAAAGTTGTGCTGGAATAACTGGCCATCTGTCTAAAACCAATGAGAGCTAGACACCCTTTCCTCATATAACACACACAGTAAATACCAGAAAAACTACAAGACAAAATATAAAAAAATAAATGAATAGAAATGTATTTCGAGAAGTGTAATTATATAAAATTATAGAGTGAAGCTGCCCTTCTTATACAGCCTTGGTGCCATAAAGGAGAAGATAAGCATATTTGAGTCTATATTCTTACACCTTTTTATCACAAAATCTAACAGAGGAAAAAAAAAAAGAATGGATTGGGAAAAACACTTGGCAACATATACGACCAATAAAGGCTTCTAATCCTTAAAGTCCGAAAGACCTTCCAAAGTGGCAACAAGATAAACAGCTGCTTAGAAAAATAATCAGCAAACATAAACAGGCAGCTACAGAAGAGGACTGCAAAGAGTCTATGAATGCATGAAAATCATGTTCAAGATTATTGGTAATAAAAACACAGGAACTGAGACAGTAGACATTGTATTGAACCAACACGCTGGTGAAAATGAAAAGCCTCCAGTACATCTAATGTCGACCAAGATGTGTGAACAAAGGTCCCAGAAACGCCGGTAAAAGTGTCACTCCGAGGTTTTTCAGGCGGTCCATAATCGCAAAGCACTGTACTCTTAGGACTCTGATCTGCATAGCAAATACAGCCTGGCTCCATTACAAGGGCCCCTGCACAGAAATGACCCAAATGTGCACCCATAGGAGAAGGGGGAGTCACCTAGGTGACAATGGCTTTGTTGATACAAGGCACATATTTAAAAGAATGAGTCATATCAACTAATCTAGAGGGAGTCTAAGGGAACACAGTTTTAAAAAGTCAAGTTGAGGGCTGGGGATTTAGTGCAGTGGTTCCACCACCTGCCTTGCAAGTGCAAGGTCCCGAGTTCAATCCCCAGTAACAAAACAAACAAACACACAAACGAAAAAGTCATGTTGAATATAATATAAAGAATACAATAGTATTTTAAAAATTTAAATAGAAAACTAACTAAAACTAATCCTGGTATGGGTTTATAAATGCTTACATAGCTTTGCATATGCAAAGATTTGAAGAGTTCTTGACCAGACTGGTAAATTATGTACACTAAGGGAGGCAGACTGGTAATATGTTATTACATTTCCCCCAGCAGCAAATGCACGATAACTTTTATTAACTTAAAAATAAAATAAAAGAAAATTTTAAAAAAGATATTGTAAAAAAGTATGGCCTATTTATCCAAGTTTTGGAAAATGTGAGAAAACAGCCGAAGCTCTGGTTTCAGGTCCCACCCCACAGGCAGCAAGCACTTACGGTTTTCCCCACACGGCTGCTGGGCAGGGCGCTGGCTTCGATGAAATATTTCCTGAGGAGATGCTTGCTGGGGTCTGGACTGTCCAGGAGGATGTAGGAGCAGAAAAACGCCCCATGCCGAAGCAGGAAGATGGCAATGTCTTCATTCCCTAATGGGATAAAACACAGGAAGCTAAGGCAGCTGGGTGTGGGGGTGCATGCTTGCAATCCCAGCACTCTGGGAGGTGAGGCAGAAGAAGATCAAGTTTAAGTCCAGCAGGGGCAACTGAGTGGCTTAGTACGATTCTGTCTCAAAATAAGAAATGGGCTGGGGATTTAACAGTGCAAGGCCATGGGTTCAGTTGCTGGTACTGAAATACACAGATGATAGATAGGTGAGTAGGTAGGTAGGTAGAATAAATTAAAACGCAAGCAACTTAAAGACATGCAGATGTGGAATAAGTCACCGATGTCCAAAGTGGCAGAGCCCCCTCTGCGCCCCGTGAACTCCTCCTTTCCTTCCCTCTGGGCATCGAGCTCCTAGCAATGAGCACTTCTGTGGGAATCTGTGCTTTGAGTGCATCACACCTGGGCCTATTCCCACAGTTGGTCCCTGTCACCGAAATCCCCCTCGGGCCGTGAGGAGGGAAGGAGGAGATGCAGAGGTTTCCCAGAAGAAACAGAACAGGGAGTTACAAAATTTCCCCCGGGGGGGGCCTGGGGAGTCAGGGAAGCCACAGCTGCCCTGGGAAGAGGCGCTGAGGACAGGACAGAGCGCGGGCGCACGCACCCGCCTTGATGGCCGCGTAGAGGGGCAGGCGCACGATGACCGGGAACTCGTTCCTCCGCACCGCGTAGTTCTCGGGGTCAGCCCTGTGTGTCAGGACCAGCAGCTTCACGATGCTCAGGTGCCCTCGCTGCGAAGCCACGGCCAGCATCCAGTTCAGCAGGCGCTTCGGGCTGGAGGGACCTGCGGAGGCGACGGCAGAGGGGACGCGCCACTGAGGGGCACCCGCCTGCGCCCTCGACGACCTCCCGCCCCCGTTAGCTGCTCCGTCCCAGCTGAGCGACAGTTCTGCAGAGTGGACTGTGACATTCCCCACAGCACTATAAACCCACCTGCCTGTCAGAGTGTGGATAGGAGAGCAAGATCCACCGTGGTACTCACGCTGTGATCTTAACTGAGTAAAAAGGAGGGACACAGGGAAATCCAGACGGGACTCTCACAGGGCTTTGGAGACAGGAAGCCCAGGGTGAAACTATCTTAGCTGTGTAATTCCGGACATAATTCGTAACCTCTCTGTAACTCATCTGTTTACCCATCAGAAAATGGGCACAGTGACTCTAGCCTCTCAAGTTGAATGCGAGGGTTACTAACAATGCATGCGGTGTGCCTGGGTCAAAAGATTCCAAGTCATATCACGGCATCACATTATCAGAGCACGATCACTGGCACTTCTCAATCACCTGCTATATATATTACATATAATATAGATTTTTAGGGGCCAGGGATTTAGCTCAGTGGCTGGGCGCCTGCCTCGCAAGTGCAAGGTCCCGAGTTTGATCCCTGGTACCAAACCAAACCAAACCAAACCATATATATTATATGTTTTTAAAAGTTTTAACAAAAGAGATAGATCTAGCTCTGCAGCCCGAAAAGGTCAGGATTACTTCCTGAAAGAATCACCTACTCAATCCCAGGATGAAATGACACTTAGCACATCAAATGCTCAGGGACCGTGTGGGCTGACCTATTACCCTGTCTTCAAGTTCAAAATAGCACAGTATCCTCAGGATCACGATGCCATGGAAAAGTGACCTCATTTTCTGAAATTCCCCAGCCACAACCTGACACTGCCTTATTTCCAGAGGTGCAGAGTTCTTAGGGACCAAAGCGCTCCCAGGTGTGGGAAGGGTGTCCCCTTCCCCTCTGTGGTGAGACACTGACCAGGAAACCCACTGGGATGAAAGTGATTACAATTTACCAAATAAACATCCGGCACAGAATTTGGGCCCTCCGGTTACCCTCCACTGCCACCCAGAACGAATGGGTGCCGTACTAACAGCAAACCTGATCCCTAATCCTTTCCCTGCATGGTTATCCTGGCCAGAGAACAAGTTGTCATCCTGGCTGATGCGTCAATCTTGAGACAGACTGTTATAGTTCAGAACCGTGGCGTTAAGAAATCAGAGGAAACCAAAGCTCAGAGAGGTTGGAGACTTGATAAAGGCCCCATATTTGGTAAACGGCAAAGGCAAGACTCAAACCCTGTTTTGTCTGAAGCCAAAGGGTAACCTCTTAGCCACAGAAAACCATACACAGCTTCTCTGAGGCCTAAACCTGACACTCAGAGGAAGCCCCAGTTTGGTGTCCACTCCTCCCCATCAGCAGCTCCGCAGACTAGGAATTATGGCCCAGCAGAGTTCAAAGAACCTTCTCCTATCAACCTCTCACCACTCTGCTCTTCAAGCCCTGCTTTGCTGTCGCGCTGCCTCTTGTCTGTCTTCTGGATTACTCTGCTCCTGCCAAAGCTGTCTTTTTTTCCCTCCAGCACAGGAATTTCCAGCAGCACACACTGTTCCGCCCATCTGTGCACTTCCTGGGGGGCCCACCACAATGTTCTGGAATCCTTCAGTTCTCAACAACTGCCCAGAGATGAAAGAGCAGATGAAAACCATGCTGAGTCCCAGCCCAGCTTCCTGCTTGTGAAAGCAGGCAACCCAAGTCCTCCTCTTGTTTGTGAGCTAAGTAAACTCCTACTCACCCCAGAAAGCCTCCCTCAGATGTTAGCCTCTCTCTGCAGCTCCCAGACCTGTGTAGACTCCAACCTCAGCATGATTACATTGCTGATATAGACTCTTCAGGGCTAGAACAGAGCTAATTTAATCTTGGGGTCTCTGAGAAAGGGTCAGCCTTTGGCTCCTGAAGGCGGCCCAGGCTGCTCTCAGCCCTTTTATTCTTTGCCTCATCCTGCCCCTTCTGTGGCTCCAAAGATTGTCCTGATTTCTACCCACAACCTCATTCCCCTCCAGCAAGTGAGGGGACCCCAGCTTGGACTAACTCAGAATAGATCTGTCTCAAACCACACAGGTGGGCACCTGCAAAAGAAGCGCCACTTGATGATTGGGGCTCGATGCAAAGTGAAAAAAGAAATAGGACCTCTTATAAATGATGAGGGGCCGGGATTTGGCTCAGTGGTTCTACCACCTGCCTCACAAATGCAAGGACCTGTGTTCGATCCCCGGTACCCACCAAAAAAACGATGAAAACTTTCAAGATGATAACTACGGAGTATTAAACCAAGAGTGGAGCTCTTCTAAGTGCACAAAGTCAGCCCTGGTCCCCAGCGAAATTCCCACTCCTAGAGACCATCTTTTGGGTCTGCCCAGGCTTATCTTGGTAGCGCTGTCTGCCTGGACTTGTTCGTGATTGCTGAGCCCAGGCCACTGTGGGAGATTACAGGACATCTTGGGACGACCAGAGACAGAGCTACAGCTGTAACACAGCCCGGCTCATCCATACAATGAAATATCATTCAGTCATAAAAAGAATGAGCTATCGAGTCAGGAAAACACATGTATTGTTAGGTAACACAAACCAATCAGGCTAGATTCAGTGGAACCATGTCCAACCATGGGACATTCTAGAAAAGGCAAAAGCATGGAGTCAGCAAAAGATCAGTGTTTGTTAAAAGCTGGGGGAGGAAGGGCTGAACAGACACAGAATAGATGAAACTATTCTGTGTGACACAGTAATGGTGGATTCACGTTATTTTACAAATGTCAAAATTGACAGACTGTGACATTGAGAATAAGTCTTACTGTAAACTGTAAGTGTGGAGTTCAGTAATAATATGTCAGTATTGGTTTATCAATGAAAACAAATGTACCTAACTAATACAAAATGTAAATAACAGGGGAATGCATGTAGGGAGTAGAGGGGAACAATGTACTTTCATATCAATTTTTTTAATCCTCAAACTGTCCTAAAAACAGTCAATTCAACAAGCTGCATAGGGCTATATTCTTTATCCAGGGTGATCATGAGTGCTTCCCTCACAGGTCAACAGGCATCTGCAGAGACACCTTTGTTTGGGGGTCAGTTGGATGCCCCAGATTTCTTGATCTCAATGCTGAAATCACGAAGAAACAAGAATTTTGGTTGAAGCCTAAGAAGAGGGCCCGGAGGGGAGGTAAGGAGCGAGTGTGCTGTGATTTACCTGCCAAGGACTCCAGCAACTCCTGTACAACCTCAGTGTGCCCCAAATGTGTGGCCACCACGGCTGGGTTGTCATCCGTGGGCTCCGTGGACAGCTCCACCTGCTTCTCGGTGAGCAGATACCGGACCATCTCCAGATCCCCGTGGGCTGCAGAGATGCTCAGGAGCTGACCCTGGTCAGAACACAACAGGGCTTCCATGAGACAAGCTCGGTCTAGAACCACCAAGGGACGTGACTTTGAAGTCGGGCTAAGGCTGGGCCTTCCCAGCCCAGGTTGGCAACTCCTGCCATGCTCAGCTTGTAATGGAAAGTCACATGATTTCAGAGACCTCGTAGGAAAGGTAAACTAGCTCACTGCTAAGTTGATTATGTGTTGGAAAAATGATCTTTAATATACACAGATGCTCCTCGGTCTACAGTGAGTGGCATTCCAAATAAATCCATCATAAATTGCAAATGCTGTAAGTCAAAAATGCATTGGATCCACCTAAGGTGTCCCACCCTAGATTCACAACACAGCACCCTGGAGCCACAGCTCTTTTCCCTGGTGACCGTGTGGCTCCCTCTGAGCTGTGGCTGATGCCCCTGGCCAGCACCACGGGACATGACTGGACAGCATAGCAGAGCTTAGGAAAGAAGAGAAACTCAAAACCCAAGAATGAATTTTACTGACAGCATGTGGTTTTCCCCTAGTCCAAAAGTCATGATGAGGGGCCGGGGATTTAGCTCAGCGGTTCGGTGGCCTGCCTTGCAAGCGCAAGGACCCGAGTTCAATCCCTGGTACCAAAAAAACAAAAACAAAAGTCATGGTGAGGGGTGATCAAATAATATGGCGAAGGTTTGAATTTTTTAAAAAAAAACTTATTATCTTAAAAGACACACCTCCAACAATGATAAATGTATTCAGAGAGAGAGAGTATTTTGTGTATTATGAGGGGGGTTAAAAGAAACATGTCCTTTACTATATTATATATTATATATTTTATTTTATAATTTTATATTATTGTATATAATATATAACATATATTTTATATACTATATATTTTAATTTAAACGTTCACTGTATTTGCTGATCACCCTTCACTGATCAAACATTCAAGGGAATGCCCGTCAAATAAAATATTATGCTGTGTCCTCATCCACCTCATTCGCCAGACCTGGTACCAAGTGACTTCCAGCTCCTCCCCAAAGTCAAAATGGCCTGGAACGGCGCATGTTTTGAGCTGATGCAGGATATCGAGGGAGCCACCAGAGCACGACTTAAGAGCACTTCCAGAACTGCCTCAGAGTGGCAAGAACGATGGGTGAGTGTGTGGGGAGCACAGGGAGCGTTCCAAGAGGGATTACGGGCAATGTGTCATTTACTCTGGTAAAGTTTTAGAAGCCTAAGCATTCACTGTATTTTATCATATCCCATAAGACAAACCACAGCGAGTTGGAAACCAGCTATAATCAGGTTAAATAAAATAATATTAACATTTCTTCTGTTTCTGTCCCCTCCACCCCCTTCTTGTTCTTATTTTTTGAGCAAAGGTCTTATTATGTAGTTCAGGCTGGTTTGGAGCTTGGTATGTAACTCAGGCTGGCCTCAAACTGCCTCAGTCT